CATGCAACACTTATTCCTTGTCCCTGTAGATGCGCATGCATGTTTTTGAAATTCTCAGATTGAACTGATCGTCATGAAAAGCTAGCAATTCTGGAAGAATGAAATTTTCAGGCCTACATGCCATCTCTTCAGATTTTGCCCCAAAATTCGTTTCTTAATGACTTTTGAACGTACCATGTCGTGCTCATAATGACTCATGTATTTTTTATGGGGTCCAGTTGCATGCAATTGATACACAAAGGGCTGGTGGGTCATTTAAATGGCATCGGGAAGATCCCACAAACTTCTACAGCACCCCCAAGAGGGAAATTGACAAAAGGGGTCCTCTGTGGGGTGGCATTTGACGAAGGAGAGTCCTCTACAGAGTCGCCCCTAGTAGGACCGGCTTACCACCTGTGCCGCTCTGGCGCCGGTATGGCAATGCGTCTAATGCGCAGGGGCCGGTCAGAAGACCCACTTTTGCCATTTTCCCTTTTACTTAAGAGCGCAAAGAAAGAATGGTGCGGAGCGAAGAAAAACTCCATTCTACGCTGCTTTTTTTCCATTGTTTTTTACTCACACAGTTTAGGGTTAGCACATTACCCCGCTATCCGCCACCGATATAAGCATCTAACTTGGGATTGGGTATTCTAACTTGAATCCCCTTCGAAGTCGCTACAGGCGAACAGAATATTGTTAACCATCTGCATAGGGTAGTCCACAACGGCCGCTCCCAGCCAACGAGGACGGGAATCTGTGGGCGCTGCGACAGCTGTGGAATATGCGAGGCGGTGGTCGAGCTGTGTGCCTCATCAATCTGCAACTTCCGTGTTCTCTGCATCCGGCCGCCATGGATTCTGACACCCTAAATTGCTGAATATCGCTGCCTGTGCGGCGGCAGGTTGCTGCGGCGTGTTTCTCCCTTGTTGCCTATACGAAGGCAACGTCCGGAAGGTTCGAGGCTCTGGCTTCGACGGCAGCTGCTGCCTGATGGCCGGCTGCTCATATTTCGCACGATGTAAGTGACGCATGGCACGCTTCGTCTTTCGTGTTGCGTGATGGGCAGATTAGACCAATCGCCAATATTGAACGAACATGTGCAACACATGTTCTGGGAGGGACATGGACACCACGCAGAGAGTTTCCTCAGCGATGAATTGCCATACGACAAAAGTTGTAGCAAAATGCCTTTCGGTATGGTAAGCAATAAATTTGAAATTACTGACAACCAGGCAGCACGAAATCTATTTGGGATACGCAACTTTTGTGTAAGATAACGGGCGCTTTGTTACAGACCAACCCATACAATTCTTTTGTTACGAAGCACCATTGCAGATCTGCATCTACGCGGAACATGTTTCAGGAGAACACATAACACAAGTTTTCCGCTTGATCTAACCCAGTTTACAACAATTTTCGGCTTTTTGCATAACTTGTTTGAATAAGTGATTGTTTCGACAACAATCATGAATTGATGGAAAATCGCTTACCTGGTACCCATTCCATGCTGTGCCCATATTCAGGCTGTCTCTATCTTTTGCGGATTTTCATTTACTCCCTCCGCAGTAACCCTGCACATTAGAAACAGGCAATGGCTCCCAGTATGCATGCACTTCGGCTTAGTATCTTTTATGTTATACGCTCAGGAAACTAACGGCTAAGAAAACGTCAATTTCGTCCGACATTCAGGAAAGGTGACGTTTCTAGTTGACTGTCTCGCTTCAGTTCCATAGCGTTTTTGCCATACCACATGGCTGAGCAACAGCATTTTCACCTCTGGACTGAGGTGCATTATGTGGTATGTCACCGTGATAGGTACCAGAATGTTAACTATTTGAAGGCGTTGTACTGCTAAAATTGGCACAGAAAATACCGTCAAAAATGCACGATGTGCTTCCATTTTAAAATGCTCAGTATTGTGAGAAATCCGGTAAGTAGGCGAATTATTGCAACAGTTATGTCCAAATTGGCATGCGGGATCCCTTGCCCTGTGTTGTTTATTGCAGTCTTTGCTGACGAATTCCGGATAGACCTCCGCACCAAGCGCAATTTGCCCGAGGAGCCTAGCAGTGACTGCTGTATTCATTGCTGGTGCGCGGGGCTGGCAATTTACCAGGAAGCGAGGGAATTGAAGGTGGGTCGAAACATTCTACCTTCATACGAGATATTGCGTTTTGAGCACACATGCACGCTTCGTTGAAAGATTCCACACTGTGTTTGTGATCTAGCGACGCTAATGCAGTCTCATTGTGTGCGAAGGTGCTCGCCTAGATGGCCTTCGTCTTCGTTGTCTCAAGGGCGTTGAAAGAGCATTGCCGCTATCAGCTCAAGTACAGTACAGAACTCAACCCAACATGGGACATTTATTCAATTAGGAGTTTGTTCATGGATTCTCATTTACTAAGTATGTGTCTCTTGGTGGGACTCCTGTGGTCGAAGGCCATCTTCACCAATCGATGTTTTCTTTTCATCTCATTGAATTATCAGGTCAAGAGCTGATTGATGGCAACACCCAGTATGCGTTAGGCACGCTGAATCCTAAAATGTATCTATTGACGAACGGTCTTTGCATGGCGGCAGCACAAATACAGGATAGGGTGGAATCACGGGTCATAGAATTTTGACGTCTCATTCATGCATTAGCCTTTTCCAGGAGAGCGCCTGCAGCAGGTGAGTCATTCACAAAGGCTTCCCGATTCTCAATTCGACTATATCAAGCAATTCCTTGCACCCCGCACCCCCTCCCCTAATCCCGCCCGGATCGTTGGCGCCTAATGCAGTTGCATCATCAGTGCAACGGTTCGAAGGATACTTTCGAAGTAATGTCGTCCCTCATGAGAATAGCTCCCATTCCACATGAAATTGAACTCATGGGCTTTCTCCACGCTTTTCACCACTTTCTCTGCCAACATTGTGCTGCAGTTCGTGTGTTTAGCCAAAATGCCCCGAGCGGCCCACGTTGAAGTGAAGCAGACGGGTATCGGCTTCTTGCGCTTCGCAAATCTTCGAAGAGCAGACACTCGCAACACGGGAGCAACTGGAGTCCAAGCACAGTCGCCAGTGCGGCCTGAGCATGTGGAGGAATCATGATGGATTGCCATCGGAATGTAACGAGCTGTTCACCCGTTTCGACGCTGGGAGATTTTAGATGCACACCTCCCAGCAGACGCAATCCTGCGTTGCGCGGTGACGCGTATTTTGCGTGACTGGGGGAAAAGGGAAATAGCGGCCCCTCGGAAAGGGGCAGGGGGTGAAAGATTGGGTGCAGACATGTTATGGTGCAGAGACAGCCGTGGACAAACTTACAGTCATATTGCATCGCACGGGAGAGGCATCGTCGCTGTAAAATACACGCCAAATTCGATTCCCTGGAGTCTGAAGTGATCAAGGAGCACGATGCCAGCCGTTGCAAGGCAAGTTTGCAACTGCAAGTCGCACACACACGGAGCAGCAAGAAACTGTTGGTTGTGGTCATGTGTCATTAGCAATGCTGTTCAGCACACTGCGCTCCCTCATTTCTGCAACTTTGTCCATGAGTGCTATGATCACCATTTAAAATGCCAGTATTTGGCAACTTTTCTCATTCAGTGTAATGCCACCACAAGGCCGTATTCATGGATCCCACGAGAGCTACATCGAGCGATACTTTTCCGTTGCCAGCGGCGTATCTCAGTGGATCGTGAGATAGCAGCCAGTCTGGATGACCCGAAACAGCATCTGCATGAACAACTTGATGGCTACACGCACCGCCTTGGTCTGTCGTTGTAACGAAATTGGACAAACTGTGATCAAACAATCTTTTGACTTTGGCGATGCCGTTTCGGTGGTACAACTGTGTCCTTGCAGCCACAAGGCACACACCTCAAGCACCATTTGTAGGCAATTGTGGCCTTCCGCATTTGCTCAACAAAGGAAATTGTGCCACTTTGTGCCACACAGCTCTGTAGAGAAATAGATTTCTGCATTATGCTACCAGCATACGCCCGTAAAGGCACAGAGCAGTTGCTGTGGGGATTCCTTCCTGATAACAACCTCTGCCGGCACGTTGCCTCTCTTAAGCCATTGTGGTGAAAACAACAAGAATCTGGAGTCCTATTTTCTCGGGATAGGATGACCCAATGTGGATGACGATGGGTTACGATGGAGAGCACCTGAGCACAGGGAAACGGCCACAAGTCGCGGCACTTACTGTCAGAGCTCAAGATCCTCTTTAGTTAGGTCCATTTCAGATAACATTCATACCGCATTGCCTGGCTCCATGCTGATGATGGATAACATAGACTGAATACTTAAGTGAATACCAAACAGAATATGGTTGTTATGCTTCCGGTCGGAGTGCCTACGATACATGCCCGCTGGGAGAGGCAGCGTCTATAGGCGACCAGGAGCCCACACGGCGTGCTTCTGGCAGCGGTACATTGCGCCAGCTTGACTAGGGGACTTTCGCATAAAGCCCCTTTGCCTGCTCACGTTATTGCGATTTATGCAGGGCGAGCTCCACAGCCGGCGACCCCTCTTGGTCCATCCACCCACCGGCAATGCGCCATGCCCTGCCGCCATGCATGGCCTTTCCAAAAGGCCGTGGGGAGGTTGCAAACGTGTTGCTGTGAGTCGGGGGCTGTAGACTCTCGTCCGCCAACAGCAAAGTTGATCATATTTGAAGGAGCTAGCTGGGCTTTCTATGGCACCGCACAACAATTTTGGTCAAGTTGATGCCCTTGTTAGCATTTTTGCATGTGGCCGATGTGGGCGACCCGAGCGGGGCATGTTGGGACATTAAACGGGAAGCAGCAGCAAATGGCACAGCGCAGGAAGTAGGCTGCATGTGCGTAGCTTCCATACAGCATTCAAGGCAAGCCCTGTCTGCGGAGTCCATGGGGCGCGCAACAGCAACCAGTCCCACCTGGATCCTATCTCTGGGCTCAATGGTTGCGAAGGAAAGCAGCACATTCATTCTGACGGCAGCCCAGCTGCTCTTCTATGGACTTCTAGCTCTACTGAAGGTTACATCACAAACTTCATCACCTCACTCCTCTCAACGCCCATTCCATGGACTGCAAGCCGGTCAAATCACTCAAAACAATGTCACAATCGCCGTGGAATTTTCCTTCCAACGAAACCCAATCCCAACCTCGAAGCCTTGAAGCCAAAACTGTTAGTTCTTTTGGAGCTGTTCCAATCGTTTCTTCTTGTACACTGCTGCTGGTCTGGTGGCCCAACATAGTCCACATGAACCCACCCAGTAAGCTAATGGAATTCCCTGGGACTTCTACACGCTCACCATTGGCATTATTGGCAGCGTCGCTGCAACTCAAGCACGCAGTTACTATCCTGGCTCTGTAGCCTTCACCCTCCTTTTCTAGCACAATTTGCCTGGCTTCCAGCGATGCTGTTGTTGATACAGCGGCAGCCTTCAGCTCCTGAACAATGGCAGCAAATATTCCTATGACGTCACTGTACAACATTCCACAACTGGTGAAGGCGGTAGCATTGCTGTCGCTTGCAAGAAATGGCCTTCCCAGCGCAGCATGCTCAAGCAGGTCAGACAATTTCCTCTTGACTCTGCGGTTGGACCATGGCCGCGGCTCCTCCAACAGGCTTTGCAGCCTGCTCACAACATCCCCCAGACAGCAGCGACTGTTGGCATCTTCCTGCATGCACTCTTCCACCAGCTCTGATAATTCCTGAGGACACTGTCCCCACATTCTGGACCGAAGGTTGCCAGCAAAACCTCCAACACAGTCTGACATGACAGCGCCCAGTGCATAGACGTCCACCTTCTCCCCACTGACCTGGGAGTCTTGGGCACTCCAGTACAGCTCTGGTGCGATGTAGCCACATGTACCCACGAGCCGACTGGACACATCATCACCAGATCTCTGCCTCGAGCAGTCGAAATCGGCCAGTTTTGCAACCAATTTCAACTCGCCATCCGCCCTTGTGGCTGACAACAATATGTTGCCTGGCTTCACATCTCCATGAGTCACAGGAGGGCGAAGGCTGTGCAGGGCTGCAAGCCCGCTGGCCACCTCAAAGAGGACAGCCACAATTTGTGCGTATGTCAGTGACATGCAACAAAAGGGATCTTGGAGCACTTGCCGCAAACTGCAGTTCATCAGCTCCATCACGATGAAGGTCTTGCTTGTCCTGGCAGAGGAATTCACGCCGAAAATCTTGACGATATTGTCGTGCTCCAACTTCCGCACTTGCTCCAGCACCTGGGCCTCCTTCTCAAATCTCGAAACTTCTGAAAAACGCACTGCAACATCCTGGTCATCCCACTTCCCCCTTTTGGCAATGCTGAATGCCCCACGCCCCAGTACCTGGTTCTCATACACCCTCACAGTTCCTTCTTTCCACTTGCTCAACACAAAGAACCCATACAGCTGTGAATACCAGTAACCTCTGAACGGGCTCATATCATTCTCCAATAGTCCCCCCTCTTCCAAAAGACAACCATCCCCAGCAGGTATGTCAAGTACCAAAGATGCACACTTCCTTGAATGGCCACTTCTCTGCCTTCGAAATCTCCAAAAGAGCAAAGCTGCAATCACGATGATGCCACCAACACCTGTGCCCACACCTACCACCGCCTTTTCAGTATTGTTGAACTTCTCTTCGCCGTTCACAACCTGGAGGAGCAATCACATCTGGCATTAAAACATGTACAGGCAACCTGGCTTCCACACACACTACATACACTAGTTTGTCACCTTTGCATTGACATCCACGGTGGCCTGTCCACATTTGCCTGCCCATTAACTCAGGTGCAAGATGTTGTCCAAATGTCACATGAGCAGCATGAGGCCATGACCCAGTTTCCATCGCGTCCACTGTGCTGTCTCTAAGAACACCACAATTCAGCTATGCTGCGTGTGGCCAGGTGTTGCCATCAAACCGCCCATTCTCGAGTTCAGCCTAGAGCAGCTAACAGAGCACATGACAAAACATTCGATTCCACATTGCTGCATCCAATGTCAACAGTATGTGGCTGATGGTAGGAGCCGGAGCAGTTTATGCTGGGTGGAAATTTCAATTGAATGAGCACTGACAATTCCCAACTGCCCAGTCTTGGAAGGCACACATGCTCAATACCAGCAATCCAATGCGCATTGCCCCTTGCTGCTGCTGTGCACATAGGGTGCATCTTTGATTGCTGCCTTTGGCCCTGTTTTTGCAGTCCTCTACAAGCAGCTTTGTGTTTAAGGAATTGTTGGTCCTCAATAAACCACAACATTTTGGTTCGTGCTCCTGTCTGGACCAGCAGAAATCCATACAAGCACCACCATTTTTTTTGTCCAAAGTTTTGCGTCCAGCCACTACTGCGCTCATATTCATGTACCCGCATCCATTTGCATTATTTGTTCTCAGGAAGGATTATAGTGTTTGTGCCACATTTGGAGAGAAGAGCAACAGACACATTCCCTGGGGACCTTTGATATTCAGCCCAAGCTAGTTGGGATTCAGTTAGGGGAAGTGAGCAAGATTCCAATATATACAGAATTCCCATGTATTACAAGTTGATCTAAGCAAGGAGCTCCCCCACAGAACGTAAAGCACAATGGGATGCTCCATCCCATGCTAAATTGCAGTTATGAATTGTAGCCTAGAAAACCTATCACAACATCTCAAATTTGCATCAAAATTTGTCGCAATGTTGTAATTTGAGCCTAGTTTGCGTTCCCAAAGACAACCGGATAAGCAGCCAATTTAACAATATCATTATGAACAGACACCACTCAGTCAAGTGGTTCATGGTGGCTTCAAAACAATCCGTTTTCAGACCATGGACTATGCCACCTTGCGGTACCCCCCACCCTCACCCCCAACCCCAACCCCACCACACACGCACACACTCGAAGTGATGGAACTTAGAGGTGCGCTTCAGAGAATAAGTTCGAGCGGAGATAAAAACCTAGAGGGCAGGCCGCCACCTTGTCCCGACAGGCGCGATCGACGATCTCGCCCATCTCTTGCCTCCATCCCAATTCCCTAAACTGTGTGCTGGTTGTGCAATGCGATCTTTTCCATCCACACTGAAAACTACTCCTGCTATGTCTTGGGAGGTCTAAAGTTCCCTTCCCATCAGTGGGCCCAGTTCAATTTCCTTGGATTGTCGAGTGCATTTCGAAAGTGCTTACTAATGTTCACAATTCTTTGGCACGAAGTCTCGAATCTATGGGCGAGATCTTCGATCACGCCTTTCAGGAGGTGCTGGCAGCTTGCCCCCCGCCTCTATACCTCTACTCAGACCTGCTGTTGAAAGTGCAACTCCAACTCTTGTCGCTTTGCACAATGGAGGCCACTGCAAGGTGGCATTGTCTAGGGCCCGAAAATGGGCAGTTTCGGCGCCAACTTGAAAAAATGGGGTAGTTTGGAAAAGTAGCGTCTGTTCAAAATGTATACTGCGGAATCACTACTAAGCCGATTGACTAGAATCAAATTACAATATTGCGACAAGTTTTGGTGAAATTCTGATATGTTTAGGTGGGCTTTCCAGGGGCACATATCATAGTGGCAATTTAATATGGGACGGAGGAAGTATATATATGCTCATGATTTTCCAAGTGACAAAGGCATTAACCAACACATTTGCTTGTGCCCAACAAACACAGTATATTCGTGCTGCCAAGGAAGATAGGGGACACTAAGAGCAGTGGCGTGATGGCCCAGTTGCCGCAGCATTGTGGATTGAAAGAGGGCATTGCCCTCAAATGCAAAACCGCACCTTGAGTTGTTGAACTTCCGCGATCCAGTCCGTGAACATGCCGACTGCTATGTAAACAAATGGAGCGTCTGCTTGGCACAGTCTCTGATAAAACGATGCAATGCCCACAACAGTGTCACTAGAGGGATCCGCTTCACTGATGTTGCTTGCTGAGGGGTCAACAAACAGTAGGGGGGCTCCTGTCTCACACAAACCTGCACCAACAGAGAACACCATAGTCCTTAACATTTAGCAAGACATCATTCAACAATGGTGCCCTCTCTCAAAAACATCGTGCAACCGAAGGCTCTGCAGGACTTTTCCAGTCAAAAAAAGTGGCTCTGTTCCAAGAAAATGGGTGGTCGGATGCTAGTCGCTCAAAGAAGGAAGTCTCACTCACCCATCTTTTAGCAAGCACACTGTTCGCCTATCCTCTACAGATGTGGTAACAAAATGCAAAGATGTTCTACAGTTCTCAAACATGCGCAACAGGCTTCGCAAACAAAACTGGATTTTGCTAATGTTGCAAACATATACCGTATTTACCCGGTATTAGTAGGCATCCACTATTATTATCCACCCCCATCTTTGGGGGTGGAAACCAGTGTTAGTATCCACCCCCCCAAACATCGACAGAAACGAGCGAAGGCGCGGATGGTGGCAAGGCAAGTCGGCGGCTGGTGTTGGACTGCATCGCCCAGTCTGGACCAAACCGCGTTCCCTGCGATTCGCACGTCGACGGGGACGATCGGGTCGGGGTGGATGCTCTCGAGGGAGAATTTGGAAGGGGGCCCGCTAAATGCCGGATGTTCGACTGGTCGCCGTTGGCCCTCTCAGCGCAGGATCGCAGGGCAGCGACCGACGCCGCGGGGCTTGATCAATGAAGTCAAGAAATCAAAGCCACCATGGTTTCTGGATTAAGTCAACCTGCTCCCCGGCCGGTCAGAGCAGGTTCCGGCCTGGCGCCTGCCAAGGGCTCCCCAAGGCCCAGCGCCAGGAATGGGCAGGCGACGGCGCTGGTCGGAGAGGCTGCCGTTGCGAGACCCCGCCTTGCAAAACTGTCCGCAAAACGCTGCGAAGGCTGGACCCGTCCCCAATTCGCACATTGCACTGGCTACCAGGACACAAACCCAGTCACAGATCCCATCAGCCGTCCCAGCTGCCATCATCCCATGAAAACGCCGCGTGTCAAGTGCATAGTCGTGACCTGGCGGCCCAGCAAGGCGAGACTTATGTCAGTACCCGTTCTCTGCATTGGTGAGGCAAACGCCCCTCGAGCATTCCAGCGAGGCCCTGTTGGCCCCAATTGCCAGTCGCCACCACCTGATGCAGCCCCAAGTCAAGGCCGCCAGCTGCCGTGAAGAGGCTGACAACATTCCTCTATGGCATTTCCATTTTCCATTTGGCCATTGCTGGGCATTTCATGGCCTATTTGTCAGAAATTTTCTTTGTCTACTGTTTGGGATCAGGAGTCCAAACCGCGTTAGCACACAAGACCCACTATTAGATCCACCGCTCATTTTGTGGATCCAATACATGCCTACTAATACCGGGTAAATGCAGTAGCATATACTACACCATTTCTGTGCGTCATTTCTCACAGTGGCTAGGTTCAACAGGACATGGAACAAATGGCTCCTGTGCGGGGGAGAATGGTCAATTGAAAGCCCTTGTATAGAAGTCATCTTCAGGACAAGTAGCACAACCTGGATGCAGCTCGCAGCAGCCATGCACTGCTTCGAAAAATCCTGTTTTGTAGGATAGACATTTGGGCTACCTAACAGCTCAGCTCAGGCAAACATACCCACCTGTGCAAGCATCAACACCATTCCCACCCCAGGCACACACCATCTGCCTCAAAATCGAAACTCGTCCACAGGCACCCCCAACCCCCTGTAAGGACAGGATATTGTAACCCCTCTGACAGGCATCATTTTTTAGGAAAGCCAGCTCTGTCTCCTGCAGCTGCGGTGGCCGCTCCTTTACAAAGTGGGCTCCAAAGGGCCCCCACCCAATGGTAGAGAGTTTTTGCCCATCATCAAATTTCAGTGTTCCATTTGCAAGAAGAGGTATTGTCACATTGGTGGCTGGCTCATCAAGCAACAGAAGGGCCAAGTTGTAGCCGCTGTCAACCCGATTATTCCATCGTGGATGGAAGAACACCTCAGTGAAATTGCGGACCTGCAAAATCAGGATGCACGCACCAATAGTGTTGAGCTCAATGGATAAGAGCTGAAAAGCTCCACACAACAACCACAGTTGCAGTGCATGGAGCTGTGACAATGGGAACATGCTGCTTGGAGGTTTTGCTCAACAACGACTTTCAGGTGCGTGGATTTTGTTCCACCATGGAATTAACCGAGCTCCTGCAGTGAAGCGCATCAGCCAGCTCACACAACAAAACGAACAATGGCAAAAATGACAGGATTCTGTGGACCGACCCTGACACACAACTCCAAGGCAACTCCCACACAACTCTCAGTGTCTAAGCTGTGCGGCTCACCTGCAAAGCGACATCAACCTCCGTGGGCTGAAGCTCATAAGCTCCCACATTGACAGCAGGATTCCCAAAGTCCAGCAATATTTGTACGCAAAAGGCTGCTGTCAGAACCCACTGTTTGTCTATCAACACGCCACCACAAACGTGGCTCCTTGGCAAACTGCCTGCTTGTAGCGACACTGCATAAGGGTAACGACCTCTTGGAGCAGCTGTGCCACCCTGCACATAGCACAAGGCCACAGGACATCACTGACCTGCAGTCACCAGGACGAAGCGATGTCCTGCACAGTTGCTGAGGGGGAACAACACAGAATACAGGCAAAGTGCAGTTGGACTGGACATGTGGCTGGCAACCATCTGCACCAGCCCCCATTCCTCAGGCGATGCAAAGTACTATTTACAGACATTCACCTTTTGCTCTGGACACAGTGGATCAACCACACAGAGCACTCCTGCCTCGTGTGTTTTCCAACGATGCATCACAACACCCAGTGCACTACCAGAGCAATATGACCTTGCCACCCCTCCTGCACCATCCGCTGAATCGACCACATTGCCAGGTAAACATTCTTTAAATTGCAACCGGGGCGGCACTTTTCTTGTCATGATTTCGACGCAGGTTCGCATCAATTCTATTAGCACATTCATTCATTCTTGGCCACGCCTCCAAACCAGTACATGCTGCTGGAACTCCTGGAATTTGAGTTTTGCAGTGTATATAGGATGGCCTGAAGGAAAATCATGTGTCCACAGGAAGAAAGGTTGCTGCCCAGCTGGATACTGCAGGTGGGGACAGCTGCTTGTGCAACAGCGATGTGCCCTTGCAGCAAAGAAAAACCTATATAGGCCAAAACATCCGATCACGTGACAAAGCCGTTGGCAGGCTACAACTGCCGAATCGTGCATTTCCACACAACCAGCAATACACAAGAGGATGCTGCTGATGTTGGGAGCCGGGGTTCCAATGCCTCACTGTGCATTCTTGCGTTGGTGATGCGGTGGCAACAATGATCACCTTATAATGCGCATTTTCACATCTTTTCAGACTCTATCTACAGCAGCAACGGGCCTGCCTGTGGGGCTGCCGCTTGCTTGCTGCTGGGGATTTCAAGAACATCCTTGCATGAGTGCCAGGGCAGCACAAGTTGATAACATCTCCCAAACTAACCGGAACGTCTGTCGGTGTCCTCTTTGTTCACCGGGTAACACGACAGGAACGACAAGAAAAGTGCAATTGATGTCAGCAATCACAATTCCTGTGTCTCAGTAGAGCTCAGCACCTGCTTTCCTGACAACTCACCTGAACCGCGGGGGACCAGGCCGCAGCGGCCAACAGCCACAGGAACAATGCGCTCCGGCGCACACCTACATACATCTCTGCACCAAGGAAGGGTGCAGTCAATCATTCCAGCAGTACAGGGTGGACACTTGCGCGGAAGATCCCCTGAGCACCCAGACAGACGCCACTGACGTCTTTCCCTCCCTTGGATACAGGCAACCTCAACTATGCGGCCCATAGGCGACACGGCCTGTATCGAAGAGGCAGCCACGGACGCTGGGCAGCAAACGCCACGTTCAAAGCGGTTCCCAACTGCAGCTCGCCATTCCAAGGGCTCAAGAAATGGGCCAATGGGCCGCAAGCGACTCACGCTGAGGAGGCAATTCCCGCTGCGGGCCACCCAGCCGCTCGGCCCCGGCGAGTGGCGCCCGCTCCTGCCCGCGGTGCCCGCGTCCCCGCGACGGTCGCGCGGCACCCCTTGTCCCGCACCGGTGCCTCGCACTGCCAAACGCGGCGGGGAAGGTCAGGGCCAGCGTGGCGCGACCAGCCCTGCAATCACCGCATCGAATTTCACGCCCCTTCCTGCGCTGGAAGCGGAGAAGTCAGGTTGCCATCAACATTCATCAGCAAATGACCAGAAAATGCTCGGGGAGCAGCTGCGCAGGCGGTTCCTCTTGGGCTGTGTCCAAGCCTTTGGGTGAAACGTTGCCTACCCATTGTTCGATTACAGTCCATTCTGCTCAAGTAAATGGC